AGACGTGTGCTCTTCCGATCTACGCATTTGAGTGAGACCAAAAGATATTGTAAGAAGTTCATTTAGAGATACCACTGACACTGAAGAGTCTGCTTTATCGACTTCGTACAAATTTGGCCGACCTTTCAGCATCCTCTTAATGATACTAGATTTATTTAGTCAGATTAGCATAATTTTTTAGTGGAAAAACCGTCTAGAATATAACTAGAAATCTTACAGATCCAACCAAAACTACTACTCATATTTTTACAGTAAAGTTTTATATGTAATCTATCAAATGTTCTAGCTGGAAAGTATCCAATCATGATAACCAGAAATTTTGTTTGGTCTCACTAAAATGTATTTTTGTCGTGTTGTATAATCATTAAACATTTCATCGTAGTGTATCATTAACTTTGGCTTGTCGCATTTCGATTTTATTGCAGAAAGTTAAGACTGATCGTGAAGTCAATGTGCATCTTGTGCAATACAAGATCGCATACACATTACAGGTGAATGTCATGCAGACCGATCCAAGAGAACTCGGATAAAAAAATACATTCTGAAATTACAAGTAGTCGCGTTGCACGTTTAATTTAACACTTTATCACGTTCAATGGTACAGTGACAGAATAGTAAATTTATCGATACTGCCGCGTGTAAAGCCGCATCGCCATGCAGTAATGATAGTAGATGAACGAAACTTATAGGAGAGAAATTGTGCAGTACCACGTACGAAGTTTTTATTGTATAATTTGGGCTAATCTTGGTGAAAATTAAATTAGACAATGTAATTTGTAATATAAATAGAATTTAACAAGATATGGGAAATTATTTTACTTAAAATTGATAATTAATAAAAATAAACAAATTAAAATTTGTAATTGATTCAAAATTGTCAGTATCGACCAGCTAATTGTTTAGTAGATTTTGGATTCAAATGATTAATAATATTAGAAAAAGACATTTAAATGTTTTACTATATATGTATTATAAGTCACTATTATATATTATATATCACTATACATATATATAGTGAAGTAAAAGCCTGTGCACGCGCGCCAATAAGTGGCTGAATAAGTGAGTGAAAATAAAATATGTATTATTAGTCACTTGTTCATACCACATTGTTTAAAATATGTACTTAAGAGTTAAATAACAGCATATTATCCTCCCTTCCCCCCCTACACGAATACATCTTTCACTGTACACAACTGTTCTCAAATGTGTAAATAAATCGCATATTATTATCTAAACTCTCGATTTGTTATAGATTTTGTTTATTATTTTAACTTAATTCTGTCTGGTTGATCTATAAGATCATTAATTGTATCATAAAATAACCAAAAATATACATCCTTTATTTTCGTTACTTTGATAAATAATTTTCAAATTTAAGAATTTTATTATCTTATTTTTATTAATTATGTGTATTTTAGGATAAAATTAAAAATTCTTGATCAATTTTTTCGTTAAAAACAGTCAGACGAAACAATCAACATTCACTGGATTGATATTATTCGACTATGAAAAAAATATATTACCGGTTGAGTGGGTTAATAAAGAATAATAGCTAATAAAAAAGAAGGTTAAGAGGATGCTAAACCCTAGATCAAACTCTAAAAATCCGCTGTTTTACCGACAATTTGAGACGAGGCATGCGTGCGATATTGATGTAGTAG